ACAGGAACCTCTAAATAGGAATTACATAATACAAATGAAAGTTATGCACCTATATATAATAAACCATATAGACAATTCTATGATAAAGTAAGAGATAGACAACCATCTAAAGGAAATAAATATAAAGATAAATATGAATTAAATGATAATTATGATAAACCAATTAATCATGGAGGAACAAAACTAGATTTAAATTGTAAAATAGATACTAAAAAAGTCTTATTAACTTGGGCAGATTCGATGATATTGTTCCTTTTATATAACAAAGATGACATATGGGAAAATACTAAAAGAAGAATAGATTTCTTAATAGCATCCTTTGAGGGAGATGTTAGAAACTGGTGAGAAGAAATAAGCAGTGATATAAAAACATTAATAAAAAGAAACGTACAAATAGAAATAATCAAATCAGATAGACAAGGTATAAAAAATTAGTATAATATATTTCAGATGAATTTTTAGGAGAAAATTGACTAAAAAATGCTGAAGAAGAATCAATAAGAGAAAAAGATAGTGCTAGAATAAAATTAATAAATTTAACAATATGTGATATGTGTAAAATTAAAGAATATACTTGTGAATTTAGAAACTATTATTATATTTAATTTTATAGTAATGAAAACCCAAGAAATATACCAAGACATATATTATAATAAGTTACTAGGTTCATGGGGAATATATTTTAAAATATAATTTGAAAAATATGTTAGAGATAATACTGGAATACCTAGAACTTTAGGTTCAAGAATAAAATTTTTATTCGAAGGACTTGCATATATATGTCAACAAAGACAATTAATGAAAAAAAGGGAAAATTAACTAAAATATGTTGTGAAGATATGGAAACCCCTGTGCAATAGGGATGTAATCTTGAAAAAAGAATTAATAAAAGAAAATATAAGAATAAAAAGTTTAAAAATTTTAAAAATTTTAGTAAAAACTATATAAAACCTCGAAAAATGTATTACAAAGGAAAAAATAACCCATATAATCAATAGAAAAATAAAAATAAAAATAAAAGTTAATGTAAATGTTGGAATTGTGGAAAAATAGGTTATATAAGCCCTGATTGTGATAAAAAGAAAGTTAGAATATTACAAAAAGAATATTTAGAAATAAAAGATGAATTAAATGAAATATTAGATATTGAAGAATACTATGATCAAGAAGTATATATAAGTGAAACAGAAGATGATGAATCAGGATCTGAATAAAGAGATTGAAGAAATAGAAAGTAATAATATAAATATACAAGAATATGAAGGAATATAAGGATATGGATTAAAAGTTACTTTTGATAATAACAAGTTTAGAAAATTGCAAAAATTATCGTTAGACTTAAAAATAGAAAAATAGGAAGTCTTTAATAAAATTTAGAAAAGAGAAAAAATAGCAATAAATGAATATCACAAAATAAAAAAAAAATCATAGATGTAAGAAAAACTTATGGACAACATAAATTAAATATTTTAATAAAAAATACAGTTGATGAACTATTAGCAAAGATTAGTAAAAAGCAAAGTGAAAAAATACAATACATTTATTTAGCAGGAATACAGATAATATTTAAATCACTATTTAGAAAAGGGATAGATTCACCCTTAACTATAACTTTACATGATGGAAGAATAATAAACTTAAAAGATAGTCATTTAAGAACAATAAAAGAAAATTTAGCATATCAAAAAATTATGTTTACATGTTATCCAAAATATTGCGTATTATTAAAAGATATAAATTTTAATGAAATTTTAGGACTACATTTCAAACTTCATAGAGATGATATTATGCAATCAGGTGATCAAATTATGACTATAGAATATATAGCTTTATACACATTTACCAATTCTAATTATGGAAATATTTATTCCAATAAACCATATATTGAAATTCATAAAGAATGTAAAGATATTAGTAAAATAATAGAATCAAATAAACAAATAAGTTTAATTCCAGAAGAATATGAATTTAGTATAGCAAAAAATAAACATGAAATAACATAATTAAATGAAAGAGAATGTTCTAATAACATAATATTTAATGATGAAAAAGTAATTAAAAGATCAAAAAGTTTTAAAATACCTAATAAAAACCAGTTAGAAGAAATCAACAAAATTAAAGAAGTAAAACTGTATAGGAATTCTAGAAACGTAAAAATAGAAGGAGAATATTATAATGGAAGATGAAATATAAATGGACCAAATATATTAATAGATACAGAAGCTAGTGAATGTCATATAATTTCGATTAGAAACAAATGACTAATAACTCATAAAACTGAATCATATGAGTATGTGAATTTTGATGGACAAGTACATATAATAGATTTAGAAGTTAAGGTACCAATAAAAATAGGAGGAATAGATCTTTTAGTACCATGTTACATAGATAAAAATATGGATATAAACCCTCGTATACTTTTAGGAATGAATTTTCTAAATGGATTAGAATATTATAGTATAAAAAGAGAAGGATTATATATTGCTCATAATGGACAGACTACATTATTTAAAAAGAATTAGATGCATAATCAGATAAGTTTCCTATTAGCCGTATATATACAAATTACTATTGTAGAAACAAATATAACAACTTGTGCTTTAATAGATATATGAAGTAACATAACAATGCTTAATTTTTTTTAATAAAATCATGGAATAATAATAGTAATATAAAAATAACTTGTGTTACAGGAGAAAGTACTCAAATAATTAATAGTGCTAATAAAGTTAATATAATTATTGGAAGTAAACAAATAACAATAAATAAATTTTATAAATATGATAAATTATTAGGAAATGATTTCATACAACAATTTCAATTTTATAAACAAAATAATTATATGATAATGCTACAAACACCTTGTGGACACTTATTAAAGATTCCTATAGAATTTAAACCTTATAGAGTTCAGCCAGCCCAGCGTGGTGATAAATGAAAGAAAAAACCAATTCTTAATAATGAAATAAAAAATAAAAGAATATTATACAAAAATGTTCTAAAAATAGGAATATAAATGAATATAAAAAAAATCATTGAACAATTAGAAAAGATTTATGGAGAAAATCCATTATTATTTTGGAAATCACATCACCCAAAAGTCAAAATAAAATTAACAGAAAATGTTATAATAAGAGTAAGACCAATGATATATACTATAAAAGATACACAAGAATTTAAAAATCAAATAAAAGAATTGTTAGAATAAAAACTTATTAGACCTAGTAATGGACCTCATAGTAGTCCAACATTTATGGTTATGAAACACTCTGAACAAGTTAGAGGAAAAACTAGAATAATTATAAATTATAAAGAATTAAACAAATATACTAGATTTGATTGTTACTTTCTACAAAATAAAGTACTAATAAATCTTGCAAGAGAAAAATAATATTATTCTAAATTTGATTGTAAATCAAGATTCTGGCAAGTAAAAATGGAAGAAGATAGTATACAATATAATGCATTTAGCACACCTCAAGGAAAATATGAACGGTTAGTTATGCCATTTAGTTTGAAAAATGCACCACAAATATATCAAAAAAAGATGGATAATATATTTAAAAAGTTTAATGAATTTCTTATAGTTTAGATTGATGATATATTAATATGTTCTAATAGTAAAGAAGATCATAGAAATGATTTAATCAAATTTATTAACGAATGTAAAAAAGAAAGAATTGTACTATCTAAAAAGAAATCTATAATAGAAAAATAAGAGATAGACTTTCTTGAATTATCAATAGATAAAAAAGGGATAAAATTACAAACTCATATATACAAAAAGATAGAAAGTTTTTCAAATAAATTAGAATCCAAAAAACAAATTCAAAATTTTTTAGGATGTTTAAATTATGCAGAAGAATTTATTGAAAATCTTTTTAAGAAAAGACATAAAATTCAAGTTTACTTAGAAGAACAAATACTAAGGGATGAAATGAAAAACATATAGAAATAGTTAAATCATTAAAAGAAGAATGCAAAAATTTACCAAAATTAAGATTATCAGATGAAAAAGATAATTTGATTGTTAATACTGATACCTCAGATAAATATTGGGCAGCAATATTAAAAATAGATCTAAACGAGATTTATAGATATTCAAGTGAAACTTTTAACCAAACAGAAATAAATTATACTACTCATGAAAAAAAATTACTAGCAATTATTAGAAGAATAAAAAAGTTCTCATTATTTTTATTATCCAAAAATTTTAATGTTGAAACTGATAATTCTTAAGTTGCAGGATTAGTCAAGAATGAATTACCCTCAGAACCACAATACAGAAGGCTTCATAAATGACAAGCTTATTTAGCATTTTATAATTTTGATATAACTCATATTAAAGGAGTAAATAATTTTCTTGCAGATTTTCTCAGCAGAAACATAGAATTTGCTGATGGATAAAGTCAAAGTTATGGAGTTATACCAATCTATTATACATATACAAGAAAGAGCAAATTTTCTTACAGAAGAATCTGAAGATATAAGTTCTGGAGCAACCCAGATCTCAGAAATATTCAACTCAAATATGAAAATATTGTTGAATATTACTAGTGAGCATCATAAATATGCCATAGAACTCAAAAATCAAGTCGATGTTATTGCAGCACAACTAAAAAATATATTGTTTGAAACAGATATACCAAAGAGCTCAGAAATGAGTTTTCCAAATCAATACCAAACAGGGACAGCTGGAAGCAGCAGTGGACCTAGACGCGATAACAGACCAACTGATAATAAAGGAGATTCCATTTCTGTATCATCAACCAAAAAAGTTATGATACATGGAGATAAAAGAGATACAAAAACAATCAGCATCATAGATCAAGAAGATAAAATCACTTTAAATCCAAACAAAGAAAAATATGTCGAAATAGTCAAAATCGCTTATGAAATAAAAATAAGCGATTCATATTTTATTTTTTCGAAAAATAATATTTCTCCCAGAATAACCACCATAAAAAGAGGTGATCCTTTATTTATAAAAATTATGGCAATCCATGATTTGATTCATCAGGAAAAGATTTTAGTGAAATCTCACCATTTTTCTAGTGAGAGAAACAGAAAAGAAAAGCCATTTTAGCGTAAACTCTCCGTCTGAAGGAAAACTTGTGCAAATTCAATGGCCAACAGCAATCTACCGCGAAGAATCATCAAGGTATAAACCTTGATTTCGCGCTTTACTCTCGATCCTCGTTTTCTTGCATTGAGTTCTCGAGTTAATGAAGTATTTGAGTTCCCTTGTTTTGTTTACGATTTAATTTGACTTTTGATTATGCTTTTTACCGTAATTTCATTTTATTTAATGGGTTTTTGCTTTTTGTGATCTAATAGGAGACTCAGCGTCTGCTCAGCGAACCAGGTAAATCCTATAATGTTCTCACACGTGCGCGCGCGTGTTTGTCTGTACTCTGTAAATTTGACTTTTGAACTTAACAGTATGCACATGTTAACACGTCACTTTGCATAGAACTGCATATCAATGTATTTTTCTGTATTAAAGATGTAATCTTGAGTTATATCACTGTGTTTTCTTGTACATAAGGGTTTCATGTGTATATTTAGCTCTCTTGCCATTTAATTGGGGTTTAAATGTATATTATTTTGTATAAAATTGATCTCTGGCATACGTTATATTAACCTCGTTTTATTTGTTCAGTATTTGCTTTCTCTTTGTGCCTATTTCAAGTTTTCTTTGTTATTGTAAATAGAAGTGGTTTCCCATGTTGACGAATATGGGAAATGTTGGCTTGTGGGATCTGAAGGATTCAATCTTAGCTACCTAGTTATGTCAGTATATTTGTACATCCCAGTAAATCTTATTCATGCTTAACCTTCAAAACTTTTGAGTGTTCTTTTATTGATTGAGATATAGGATAAGACTTTGAAGCTTCTTAAGTGTTCTTTCAATTTGTGGTTGCAGCTCCAGGAATAAGTGCATCTCCATCCGAAGAGAATATGCGGTATTTTAATGTAATGATTCTTGGTCCAACGCAATCTCCTTATGAAGGTAACTTTAGCTGGCATTGCCTGTTTCTTGTAAGAATCATTTTCTTGTGTTTATGCTGTTCGATGTCTGTTCCTGGTGATGTTTGTGTATTGATTTTCTCATATTTATTCATAAACTGTTATGTTGGTTTAAACTTCCTAAAATACCTCTCTTTCCTAGACAAGCACATGGATAGCTGCTTCCTTCCAGACACTGATTTGTACATCCTAAAATACCTGTCTTTCCTAACCACATTCGCTGAAATATTCCCCCTCTTCTATTCCTCCAGGTTGGCATTTTACCACGCTTTCTCGAGGTTGAAGTGGACCCTTTTGGGAATAAAAAAATTTGTTTTGAAGCATTTTCTTGAATCGAGGAGCATTTATAAGCGTACCGATGGAAACTGAATTCATGGAGAATTAATAGAAAATTGTGAATTTCGTAGGCTTATAAAATCCAGTGTTAATTCCTGGTTGCGTAATTTACGTTGAGAATCTAAAAAGTACCGGAGACAGCAGCCATTACAAGTGGAACCATTTGTCATATATAATGACACCTATATATGGACAGATTGTCAGAAAAATTGCATTTGTCCCCAGTGATTTGCTGGAGTTTGTCTGTAACAAGGAAGTTAGTCCTCAACCTTCCCTTACCTTTGCGTAGGGGTGGATCCAGGATTGGATTCAAGATCGGGCTACAAAATTTCAAGTCAGGCTAATATGTGAAAAAAATTATTTTACACATAAAAAACTGTTTTTACAAAAAAAAGATAAAATGAAAAGTGCCTTACAAAAAAAGAGAATTCTTGGGCCTTTTGGGGGGGGGGGGGGGGGGGGGGGGGGGACTACAGCCCAGCACAGTCCCCCCTACATCTGCCCCTGCCTTTGAGCAATCAAGCCCCAAGGATGAAAACCGTCCAAGTTTTTGTTAAATTGTCACGCTTTCCTCGTGTCTAATTTGATGAAACTACGTTTTGTTTCTCAACTTGGGCCAGTGCCTAGAATTTTATAGTTGGGCATGTTTTTATGCAACAAGCGACAATTTGAATCATTTTCCTCACCGCAGACTATTTGTGTGAAAATATAAATATTGAAGACCAACTTGCTACACAAGCAAATAAGTTAGGGCTAATTTTTAGACTAATATGCCCTTAAAAATAAATTTTGCATTTATTAGCTGATTATATGAATTTCATATGCATTATTTATGGGTATTGTTGTTTAATTGTTATATATGATATAAGGTAAATATTTATTTGTGTAATATTATAGAAAAATCACGCTAGTGGATTATAAACCCTAAGGAGGAAGTAATGATATTCAGTGTCTCATTAATCCAAATGAATTTTAGACATTAAGAATGATTGACGTCTACTTTTGTATTTAAATCTCATAAACATTTACATGCTAGTGTCAATATTGAGAAGGCTAGAGTCATTTGTGGACTCCAGCTTATTATTATTCTTAAGATATGCTAACTTAGAACTTCTAAGATCTCCTTCCTGGTGAGTATTTTATGGATTCCAACTGATTTCCTGGTGAGTGTCCATGTTGCTTTCAGTTCTCTTTCTTTTTTAGTTTGAACTTCTCGAGAGAGTTAGAGTGGAATATGGCTGGGCTGGGCTGGGCTGGGCGGAGCCGGACATGCCCATGTTCTTCTATTTATCTTCTAAATGTTGATGTTCTATTTAGTTGTGGGCTCCTAGTTCTTAACTATGTAAAATCAATTCATTGCAGATGTTTTTGGGACAAGTTAGGTGTCTTTTGGTAGCTTAGTTTTTGTCTTTTGTTAATTATTTCCCAGTGCTTGTACCGTTTGTTCACCATTTGTTAGTTGCTTCTGAATTATGAAAGAATCTTGTGGCATACTTAGAAGCAGTAATTATGCCCTTTCTGCTCGCTTGTTGTATGAGAGTTGTGAAGACAAGGCAGTGAGAAGCATTGCTTTTCTGAACGAGACAAGATTGTGACTATGGGGAGCCTTTGGGAGTCGTCGGTTAAATTTGTTCTTTGTTGCACCCGGATTTCTCTGATACAAATCTCCTTGGTAACATCCTGTTTATGATGGTTATATATGATTAATTTGATTAACCTATAGTTTCTTTCTCCTTTTGGTGCTTGGACTTTTGTAAAGGAAATGGACAATTTGTATGGTGTTGAAAACTCTATCTCATATATTCACGTGGGTACATTTTAAGGGCATTATTCATGTTATATAACTTGGTACTGGATTTGAGCTTTATTTCTTATCCCTAATGTGGATCAGTAAGTAGGCCCTTTGGGTTTTGATTGTTTTTTATCAACATATGAATAACTAATTTCAATGTTGATTACCTTGCTTTGTAGGAGGTGTTTTCAAGCTGGAATTGTTTTTGCCTGAAGAGTATCCAATGGCTGCTCCCAAGGTATTTTAAAAAGACTCCTTTATGGTAGATTGTGTTTTTGATTCTTTAAAGACTCTTGCATGGTGGATTGTGTTTTTGTTTCTTTTATTGGTAGCATGGTTCTTCCCCGTGTCATCAGCAGGAAGTTCATAGAGTCCTATAAAGGGGGATTATAGAAAACTTGGCAATAGGGAAGTTTTAATATGAGATTATGGTTGCAGCCATGAAATGAGGAAGTTTTAATATTTGTGAATTCTCGTCAAACGATATACTTGTTTGCAACACAAATTGCAATTTGGACTGGTCGAAGAGTCAAATGAGATTAAAAGTTGTTTCTCGAATTGGATTATGAATAATATTGACCATTTGTCCCAACAGGTTCGTTTCCTCACGAAAATTTATCACCCGAACATTGATAAGGTTTGTCGTCCTACTTTCTCTTGTTATCCATCTCTAGGGTTGAGTGCTATATTCTTGACTCTTGCCTGATGGATTTACTATGCAGCTTGGAAGGATATGCCTAGATATTCTTAAAGACAAATGGAGCCCTGCTCTTCAGATTCGAACAGTACTTTTGAGGTTCTAAATTTATAAAGAACTTTCGTCTAGGATATCTTTACGTAATTATGTTTGTGCCCATCAAGAAGTGAAATATAGCAAATTTCAGTGAATTCCTTCATATTTTTAGTGATTTCTTTGTTACCTAAAATGGGAAATTGATTTATCTCTATAAATTCTTCCAGCTTAGGTAGTTGTTGATTATCAATTTTGCCGTTGTTAATGTGTATATGCTCGATTTCACACTGTTCTATTGCTTCTGTTTAGTATTCAAGCACTTTTGAGTGCACCGAACCCAGAAGATCCACTCTCTGAAAACATTGCTAAGCATTGGAAAACAGACGAGTCTGAAGCCGTTGAAACAGGTATACTTGATATATTGATATGCCTGATTCTGAGAGAAAGTTTTGCCATTGTGTCTATATAGCGCTTGTCTGGTTGTGATTCTTCGAGAAGTGATTCTTTGAATTTTTTTATTTTTTCTTTACGAATGTGTGGTTAAAAAATTGTGAAAAATTAAGGGAAAACATGAATCTTTTTTTTTGCCTGAGAATGTTTGGCCGAAAATGAGTGTGGGAGAGAAGTGATTCTCAAATAATCAAAAATCAAGCTAGGACTTAATTATATCTGTTTCTTTTTCGAGTTGCAGCAAAAGAATGGACACGTTTATATGCAAGTGGGGCATGAAGTGCGCAGAGCTTAAGGCTTTCGTAAATAACAAATCATGTACTCATTGACCGTCGAACGAACTTGGAAAAATTGTAATATATATGTTTTCAATGTCTGGCATTTCTGCTGTTAACTTCTTATGTACTCTGTTTTCCAATTATGTAACGAGATGTGATAATTGTATAATCTATTGAAATGACACATTTTGATGAAATTCCATGTGGGTTTCCCAGCAAAGTGAATATGTGCTAAAGGATTTTCTACTGCCTTGTGTGATAAATAAACCATTGAATCACAAATATGCAATTGACGCAAAAGACATTCACTTCAGTCAAATTTAACATTTTAAAACTAACCAGATAATACAATGAGATCGCAATAACCATTTTAAATGCAAGCATTTCAACATAGATCAAAGCGATCCGATCAAAACAATGCACAAAACTTCGATTTCTACCATCCCATTTTTGTCATATTTGCATATGATCCACATATAAGTGCCGTACATCACAAACCTATATTTCACATACTAAAGATGGCAGAAAAGGAGGGTGGGATAGTGAAAAAGGGGCACGAGGAAGGTCTAAAAATGGCGATTTCTCTTCTCGAAGAATTCGGGCTCCCACTCGGGCTTCTCCCTCTTGCAGAGGTGATAGAAGTGGGATTTGTAAGGAGCACAGGTTACATGTGGATTGTCCAGGAGAAAAAGGTTGAACACGAATTCAAAATTATAAGCAAAACGGTGAGTTATAGCAATGAGATTAATGGATATATTGAGATGAAAAAGATCAAGAAATTGCATGGAGTTAAGGCTAAAGAGCTCGTGCTTTGGCCTCCAGTTAGTGAAATCAGAGTAGACGATCCTCCAACTGGGAAAATCCATTTTAGGAGTCTTGCAGGAATTACAAAGACTTTCCCAGTTGAGGCTTTTGCTTTAGGCCAGTGATGATAATGATGAGTGGGTGTTCCCACCCCTCCCCCTTCCTCTCGAATAATTGTCTATTGTACTGTCCTATCGCGCACCCTTAGTACATGTTTGACATGTAGTATTAGACCGCAATTCACAATAAAACAAACAAGATTTTACTTTTTTAACATTGTCGAGTACTTTCTAATCCGCTTTTCGAACATTGTTGTTATGTGAATACTCTAAGAATGTATATATATTTGCTAAAGTAAAAGGAATAATCTAAAATTGTTATACATTGATTACTATTTACATATTTAAGATATGTAAAATTTTACCTTTAACACGTGCTATGGGATGGTGTGCTAGATAAGATCATGATAACTTGTTTAGGAACATAAATCTTAAAATCTGGTAGCTTATTTAAGTTTAAGACGAATCTAATTGCTCATTTGAACTTTTTGAAGATTTTATACCATGTCGTCACAGAATCATATAATTCATATTTTAAAGGAATAGTTCAAACTCTTTATGAATATCGTTTTTATATTTAGGGAAAGTTTCGTGCATGACAAAAATAATAATAATTATTATAATCAAATACTTCAAACAATATGTTACATATAAAATTCTTCAATATCCATGTGAAGTGTGAAAACTATTATTAAATACAAGTTAACATGCTAAATAAAATAAACCAATATATCAGATTTTAATGGCAAATGAATACATTTGCGTTCAAATTTTAGAAAAAGAAACATTTATTATTGTAATCAACAATAATTTTTGAATTGAACAATCAAAATGCATTACAAAATTTGGTTGAAGGATCGAAATAAAAATCTCCACTATTGACACTCGGTTGACGCTTCGCTTGCACTCGTTTGTTCAATTGTCGCATCATAAATTCCAACAATATTACAATGTCGAATAAATGAAATGACCCTAGTTATAAGAAGTTTGTCCATATTGTCAATCAAGAGGTATGTTGTACTTCTAATTTAACTTACAAGGATTCTTATAATCAGTGTCCGTAAGATGCTCTTTAATATCAATATTTTAGAGCATTTTCAAGAGACTCTTTAAAGATGAACTAATCTCTATTTTAAAGAGTCATCCCCCTTAAAATCATGCTTCATTAGACTCTTTAAATTAACATTTTAATTTAGGGAGAGGGTTTCACTCTTTATAATTAAATGCATTGTGTTTCAATTTTCAATAAAAAAATAATATAGAAAAAAAATAGTTAAAATAAAAGATAGAGAAAAATAATAATATTTTTTGAGAGTAGTAAAATTAAGTGTTAAATATAAAGAGT